CCTAAACCCTAAACCCTAAACCCTAAACCCTAAACCCTAAACCCTAAACCCTAAACCTAAGGCGAAGCGAGAGGCTCGATGTGCTCGCCCATCCGGAGCTCCTGAGGATCCTTGGCACCTGTGATCCTCCATTCACCGTGGTCTTCGCGGACATCGGCGGCAACCGGGAGCTGAACCACGTTGTGGAGCTACTGGAGCCTTAGGGATACTTGGGAAGAGCTTTGATGAGTATTTCCAGCCAAAATGATAGCTTTTGCTAGGGTTCCAAGTTCTGTAGAGCCCTAAACCCTAAACCCTAAACCCTAAACCCTAAACCCTAAACCCTAAACCCTAAACCCTAAACCCTAAACCCTAAACCCTAAACCCTAAACCCTAAAATAGGAGCTTCTGGGCCGGGAGATGGGGACCTTGCGCTACGTCGCCGTGAAGAGTGAGGCCTTGGCAGAGGCTCTGGAGCGAGCGCCTGTGGAGCGAAAGCTCCAGTGGTGGAAGCTTGGGGATACTTGGGATGATTAGGGTTTAGGGTTTAGGGTTTAGGGTTTAGGGTTTAGGGTTTAGGGTTTAGGGTTTAGGGTTTAGGGTTTAGGGTTTATAGGGATTAGGCTCTGCTACACAGCACGCTGTACATGCAGAGACTATAGGCCTACCACTGCGTATGAGGGCGGCACAAAACCTAAAAAGCCCAAGGTTCAGGGTTTAGGGTTTAAGGTACTGTAATTCTTAAGAAACAGCTGAAATTGGAATTTTTGCTAGGGTTCCAAGCTCAGAAAAGGAAGGAGCTCACCCAACAGGTCTGTCGCAAGAAGTTGCCGAAGCGGCCCATGCAAAAGGTCCTGCAGCGCCCCGTGCGCAGGACGCCCGAAGGCAAAGAGATCTGCCGCTTCGCCAACTATGCCACATGCTCGAAACTGGGTCCTTGCTGGTACTATTTTTACATCTTTGTCATATTAAAGTCCCAACAAGGAATAAACATGATGTCATATTAAAGTCCCAATAAGGAATAAACGTGATAATCTTTAATTTAACCCCAACAATTGAAGCAGGAAAGGGGAAGACTGCAGATACGACCATGACCACTGCCACTGCTGCGGTGCCCTGGGACACCATGCCATGGGCTGCGCGCAGTATGAGGAGTTTGTGGTACTTTACTGTAGATTTAGATCCTTTCCTTTTTTGGGTTTAGGGTTTAGGGTTTAGGGTTTAGGGTTTCTTATTAAGGCAGCTAAAAGTTTAATTTATAGCTACCCTCCTGAGTGCAGCCAAGAGGAGATGGATGCCGCAACTGGGGAGCCTACCTACAGCCTTTGCTCACCTGTGGCGCAGCGACTGTACAGCGCGCTCAGGGCTGGTGGCCGGGGTGTTCCTGAGCACGATGGCTAAGACAGGTGCAGCATCGTGAGGAAAACTGCGCCAGAAGTCACAGCAGGTCTGACCCTTCTCGAAACCTCTTAAGTTACCAAGCCCGAGCGTCGAATCGCTGAACCCTAAACCCTAAACCCTAGCTATGTTTGTTGTGGTCGGGGCTTGCAGATGCAGTCACAGTCGCCCTGTAAGCGACGAAGCACAAGAGGCTTCCTTTTGTAGTGGGTGCCCTAAACCATAAAATCCTAAACTCTAAACCCTGAACCCTAAACCCTAAACCCGTGGAATCGCTTATACGGGGTATATGAAGGGCACTACGGGAAATTAGCCCGATTCCCCTGGCCCCTCACCCTCTGTTCATGTGTTGCATCCCAGCAGTGCGGATCTCGAGGCTGCTAGGCAGGTGGCAAGAAGTAGGTTTAGGGTTTAGGGTTTGGGGTTTAGGGTTTAGGGTTTAGGGTTTCTCGTCACTCCCTACTACGTATAGAACTTTGGCGTGCAAATACCCCCCCCCCCCCAACGGGCAAAGCACAAGCGGAGGCCGACAGGATGACCTACGTAAACTCACATCGGCAGAAGACTGCCCGACTCTCACACTACCTAAACCTTTTCAGGGGACAAGGATGGATGGTCACACTGCCCAGAAGCACGGATACGATCCACAGGATGGACAGTAGCCCAGAGCTTCTCTTGAACAAACATGCAACCAACGATGGAGGGCATCGTAGTCAACCTTTCTGGCCTTTCACAACCCAGCCCGGCCCAAAGAGCCAGACGAGGACGAGGACAAAAGGGCGAGAGCCGCAGGGCTCCAAAAAGGACCGCAAGCAACAGGACGAGCACAAGGATTGCTGTAAGCCCACTTGCGCGTGGCATCCCAGTCGATCCTGTGAACACATCGAAGGCGGGTCATCAAGGCAATCGATGGAACATCATGCCTGCCAGTACCGCAGTGCTGACTCAGCGCCCACGCACGCCCGGCCTGACGAACAGCATGCTGCAGCCAGGCGCCATCAACACGGCCAGAAGCAAGGCTGATGACGCCACCACTGAGGCGGTGATGCCACACTATTCCTAGAAACCCGCCAACTCTACTTAAGTCAAAAGGACTTCCAATTAAACCCTAATTAAACCATAAACCCCAATTAAACCATGAACCCTGAACCCTAAACCTTGAACCCTGAACCCTAAACCCTAAACCTTGAACCCTAAACCCTAAACCCTAAACCCTAAACCCTAAACCCTAAACCCTAAACCCTAAACCCTAAACCCTAAACCCTAAACCCTAAACCCTAAACCCTAAACCCTAACCCTAAACCCCCAAGTCGAGCCAGGAATCGAATTCGCCTTGGGCATCGTCATCTGCTTGATGGGCGACGTGGCGGCCGCCGTCAACGTGCTGGTGGTCTCTTACTTCGGCATCTCGTCTGCATTTAGGGTTCAGGGTTTAGGGTTAGGGTTTCTGGTTTAGGGTTAGGGTTTGGGGTTTAGGGTTTAGGGTTTAGGGTTTAGGGAATCACGTAGCGAAGTGGCAAGCCTGCTGCAAAAGGGAATGGCGTAGAGTTTGAGAGTTAGGAGTTAGGTCTCTAGGTTTGAAGGGGTTTGGGGAGTGTAGGGGTGGAGTTTAAGAGTTAGGATTTAGGGGTTTAGGGTTTAGGGTTTAGGATTTAGGTCTCGGGGATTAGAGAATCCGAGTTCAGGAGTTTAGGGTTTGGGGTTTAGGGGTTTAGGTGGACAGGATTGAGCCTGGGTTTAGGGGTTTAGGCGGCTAATGGTGTTTCCCGGCAGTGTTCGAAGCGGCCTGGATGCAAAAGGTGGTTAGCCGCAAGAATTCGCACTTTCACCACGGTCCATCCTCAAGGCCGTTGCTTTGATAGGTTTCTTTCTAAGCTCTCAAAACTGTTACAACCAGAAACCCATCCCAAGCCGAAGACTTGGCCCTACCCTAAACCGTAAACCCTAAACCTTAAACCCTAAACCCTAAACCCCAAACCCTAAAACGCAGGCAGGAGCCTGGATCCACCATTGAATTCCTTCGACACGGTGCTGTACATGGCCTTGCCATGTGCGGTCTTCATGTTCGGAGTGGCAATTTGCAACTGAGCAGCATGCCGGTTAGGGTACAGGGTTTAGGGTTTAGGGTTTAAGGTTTAGGGTTTAGGGTTTCGGGTTTAGGGTTTAGGGTTTAGCAGCAGCGGGCGGGCTGAACACAGGTTCGTGCGGCTCCAGTGGAGCGGTACAAAAACATGCAATCATAGGCATCAGGCAGCTAGCTGAGTTCGTGCCAACGCCCAGCCATCGGGGTTCATGGTGGGGGCTTCATGCTGCGCTGCTGAAGGGCCTACTGAATTATCCGCAAAACATGCAATGATGTCAGCAGTCTCATGACATAAGGCCCGAACTGAGAGCTCAAGAGCCCTGACATCAAAGCAAGAAAGAGTGCTAGCTACGTGAACTAGCTCAGACAGCAACTGTGTGGGCTTAGGGGGAGGCTGAAGGGGTCCACTAGCCCTGACGGCGGGGATGCCGCCAGTTTGTCGCTGTGATGGAGTGCATTCGCCCAGCGGACGCCTGGAGGCCACGATGATGGCCAGGCATGGTGATCCTGAAAACTGGAGGTGCCTGACCAACCTTTCGTGAGTGCTGTAATTCATGAGGCATGCTGGACAGGTATTGCCAGAGCAGTACTGCCGAGCCAGCTTGATGGCCCCGTGCTGCAGGGCTTGGTGTGCTGCTAAGGCATTGACAGAGCCGAATGTGAGGGGGCAATCGGGGCAGGATACGCAAAGATCGCAAGTGCGAGCCTCACATGACTCACTCGTCACAGCAGGCGAGCGCTGAGCGGCTGCGACACGAACCTCCTTCTGCCGCAGATACCAGTGTCTCAGCGACTTGCTTTGTGCATCGATGGCGCGGGCAATCAAGCGGCGAAAGACCCTGCTATGGTCTGAAACCCATACCATGAGCTCAACGGGCGATTGCACAAGCCTATCCCAGCAATCAGCGGTTAAGACTCGAGGTTGCCAGTAGCGAAGGAAGGCGATGTCCTGCAAGACAAGATGCAACCAGCTGTAACAGCTGCAGCTGAACTCAACCATAAGAAGATCCCACAACTCAACCCTTTCCTGAACGACTATGCGCATGAAATGGAGTAGGCGTTGCTCGGTGAGGAGCGTGGCAGGGTATGGCAGTCCGCATCTTCCGGCCACAGATCGCACATCGGGGCAGTCTGGGTGGTGTGTATGCCTGTCCTCTGGCGCCAGGAGTCGGTAGAGGTCTCCTATGCCATTCATCCACGCGTTCATGGCATTGTCAGGCAGTGAAGTCCAGATTCCGACATTGTGAAGGGCGACGGATAGGCCCAGAGATGACAACACAAGACGCCTAACGTGCTCCGGGACATCTGTGTTACGAAGCACTGGCTGCGCAAGAGGCACTACTGCATGCTTAGCACGTGCTAACTTAGCAACCATATCCCTATGTCCATGCTCCTCTCCAGACAGAAGGCTGCCCAAGTGAGTGTAGCTGGTACACAGCCTTACGTCCTGGGTGGCAGTACCTGTCGAGAAGGTCAAGCACCCACGGCGCCCAAGCAAACGACCGAGCTCCGAACGAGATCCTTTGCCGTGAGCAACAAGGAGGATCTCAGTCTTGCCTCGCGCGTAGTTGATGCGCAGAGCTCGCCGTGTGTACACAGCGTGGATGTGGCGGCTGGTTGCCACAGAGACGGCTTCAAGGTCAGCTGCCGTCGGGGCCCAGACTGGTACAAGTACGTCATCTGCCCAAAGGGGCTGACAGAGAAGCTCAAGACCAGGGCCTTGCAGAAGGCCTTCGCTGTGCATGCGGCATTGAGCTCCCTCGTTGCAAGGACAAAGGCAGGGCAACGGAAGAGTGCCCTTAGCATACGAAGCTGATGTGGGTCGATGTCGGCTAGCAGCGGGCTGCCTGAAGCCCATGAGCGGACAAGATGAATGGTGTCGGGATCTACCCCCATGGCCGAGAGTATGCTGCATATGCTGTGGTCAACCTCGCGCTCAGTGAGATGCTGTCTGTACACAGCATAATAGGCAGACTGCACGTCGATGAAATGCAACGCGCATGCATGCCCCTTAGCTTTTGCGCACTTGACAAGGGTCTGGGCATAGTGGGTGAGCATCTGGAGATTGGACTTTGGCAGGCAACCAGCGAACAGTGGAGGGGCTTGTTGCGCCAGACACTGCAAGATGGGCCCACGGAGGGACTTTCTGGAGGCCTTGCCTATTCCCTCGAGGAGGAGAATGCTGCGGTAGTTGCTGACAAGATGTGGTGAACCCTTCTGCTTAAACAGTGCGACCAGAAGCCCTGAACTCATGCGGAAAGGTTCCGTCAATCTGACATGCATCTTCAAAACGGGGCCATACCAACATCTCGCAGCACGCGCAGGGGCGCACGTCCAAATTTCGTTTGGTACGCCAGATGGCCCAGGAGCTTTGTGTGCCGGGAGCTGGCGAACATGCTTCTCTATTTGAAGCAGAGAGGGAAGCTGTAACAGGTCGAAAGGATCGCCAGCAGAATCATGCAGCTGACACTGTGCCTGATCATGGGCCGCTAGCTCATCAGCGGTGCTAGGGACTGCTGCTTCCATCCGCCCAAAGTGGTCCGCCTTGATGGCCTGCGCAGCTTCAAAGTCAAAGACAAGTTCGCCGCCGGAGTCCTTCAAAGTGAGCAGGACAGAGAAGGGCTTCATGACCTTACGACCTCCTGTTCGAAAACACCTCAAAGAGCGGTACAGCTGGCTGAAATCTCTTGCATCTGCATGTTGGCGGAGCTGCTTAACCTGTTGTTGGATGTAGTGAGCTTTGTCTCGCCGAATTGCAGCTCGGATCTGGTAGATGGTTCTACCTATGCCATGCTCAAGAACAGCAACGAGGTGGAGCCGCCTAGCAATCACTTGCCCATGAGGTGGCTGCGACGTTGATCGCATTGACGCCCAGGCTCGGAACGGGAATGACAGAAAGTCAAGCTGTGTGCGTAGTTTCGCCTGACGGTGTCTTCCGAAAAGCTCCTTGCGAAACTGCAACATAGCGGCTGTAGTGGCAGAGACGTACGGCCGCGCTGGGGGCTTGGGCGTCGCTCGCGGCCTGGGGTCGTCTCGGGGTCGACCGGCCGGAACAAGCTTTCGATCCTGGTAGCGTCCAACACGCTGCGAGGCTTGCTTGGCCTTTCGAAAGATGCGTTCGGCGTGTTCGTGCACATTAACGAGTCCAATGCTGTGCAATGCCTATGATTCTGCCGAATGGAAACGGAGGCTGCCGGAACACAGCAACTGATGATGACTGGCCGGTGGTCATCATGAGGATTCAAAAGATCAAAGCACGACGGTGGATGGGCGAAGGCTCCGGCAACCCAGGCAGGCGGCAGAACAATGTAGTCGAGACGCCGGTCGCGCCAAGTCCGGTGATCTACCCCGTGCATGATTTCAGCGTGGGTATTCGCGATGACGCAAGAATACTTCTCCGCAACCGATGCAAATTGTTCGCCTGCAAGGTTTGAGGCTTCGGCTCCGTAAGAGCCATGGCACATGCTGTGTCCTGCGCCCAATCTAGCATTAGCATCTCCTAGCCAAACCATGGGACCTTTGGACTGGACTGAAGACACAAAGGCATCAAAACGTTGCCACCATCCACGTATCTCTTCCTCAGGCTTCAAACTATGAGGGGCATGAAAGCTGATGATGGTACCGTGAAAGGCGGTGGACTTGACATGCACGCAGAGTAGGTCAGCCCGCGCCTCGACTGTAACACAGTCCTCCTTCTTTAGACGCAGGGCTTGCGAATCAAGAAGGACTGAGCAACCTCCTTGACCAGCCTGAGCAGCTGAGTGGAACTGAAACCAGCGCCCGTGCGACTGCCACGCGCAGCGACTGCGGGTTTCTTGGAAAGCAAGGACATGAATGCTCTGCGCCTCAGCCTGGCACAGTAGAGCGGGCTTTTTGTCTCCAAGTGTGCAAAGGTTGGCAGAAAGAAAGCACACCCTTGTCGCAGCCTTGGCCTTCGGGGTTGCAATAGATGTGACATCATCAAGGACGGCCTGGGCACATGGGGCAGGGAGCACATCCGGGTGCTCGTATCCTTTGGCAAGTTGGGACAATGATGGCATGTCGCAAGGAGCAAAGCCCAACCAAAGCCAAGGCAGGTAAGGGTTCTCGACAAGGCGCCTTACCGTGGTCGGCTCACAACACCTTATGCGCAGGCGTCCAGCTGCAGCAGCTTGGTCCGCAAGCTCGTGGCCAAGCAGATCTGAATGGGAGGGGATATGATGCCAGGAGATGCACCGCCCGGAGGCTTCATGGCATTGGGCAAGAGCGCGGGCGGCATCAGCGTAGTTTTGCAACCCATCAACGCAAACCGTAGCGTTGCCCTGCCCTACATCTTGTGCAAGCTTAGAGTCTAGATGCACATGCACAGCAACGTGCGGTGGCAGGCTACACACGAAGGAGAGAGCAAGAATGAGGGAATGAAGCTCCGCAAGATTATTTGTCGGGTCGCCATTAGTGGCGAGCGTAGGCCCGGCGGCCCACCCAACAAATGGAAAATGAGCAAACTCGACCCCGGGCTGTTCTGCAAAGAGCGCCAAACCCCATCCAGCTTGCTTATGCTGTTCCGAACCATCAGTGAAGATGTGAAATGCAACGATCGGCACTGGCACGAGTCTAGCCAACGTCGCGCTGCCAAACTGACGCCAAGCGATGCTGCAGACTGCCAGAATCCAATCCAGGGGCCATGCAACGCAGCCAAATCACGGAAAGCACCTGAAAGTGACAAGTCAAGGGGCGGCAAATGGCTGAGAAGACGGACGCGCTCCGGCGGCAGTGCGTCGGCAGGGCTAGGGCTAGGAGACCTTTCAGCAACTGACATTCGGGTGGAAGACTCTGCAAGCGCTACAAGCCCAAGGTGCGCTCGAGGGGGTATTTGCGCGGAGTTGGGGGCAGCTTGGGAGCAGCCAACGTCAGCAATGTGCCCCTGAGGGTTGCTGAAAGCGTCGATTGTCAGCTGCAGCGGGGAAGGAAACCAGAACTGCACAGCAGAGCTGAAGGTGACATTCTTCTGCTTACCTCTTTCGCCTCTGTTGGCGCGCGTTGGTTGTTCTGTGGCCTCTGGAGACGCAGGCTCAACTGAAAGAGGCGGAAACACGCCGCTGCAAGGGCAGCACACGGGCACCTCAGAGAAGCAGGGTTAGTTTAGGGTTTAGGGTTTAGGGTTTAGGGTTTAGGATTAGGGTTGAGCTGCCACGAACCTTCTTAGGTGCAGATAAGTCGAGTTTATGAAGACCAAGGTGGTTACCCTTTTGAGGTGCGTTCATACTTGAAGGGTGGCTTGATCCCGGGCCGAGGCTCAAATCGGTTCCGGCAAAAGGAAAGACTTGCGGTTGGGGTTTAGGGTTTAGGGTTTAGGGTTTAGGGTTTGGGGTTTAGGGTTTAGGGTTTAGGGTTTAGGTCTAAGGGTTAGGGTTTAGGGTTTAGGGTTTAGGGTTTACGGTTGAGAGCCCGTCCGGTGGTATATGACTTGAAGCAAAATCGATCTTGGTGCTCGGGGGGGGGGGGGCGGTTGGGGGGTGGGGCTAGCAACACACACTCTGGCGTGAATTGTCATGTCGCGAATCTTGCCTACAGGAGTTTAAGGAAACTGTAAACTCGAAACCCTAAACCGTAAACCCTAGACCCTGGACCCTAAACCCTAAACCCTAAACCCTGAAACCCTAAACCCTAAACCCTAAACAGCCCTAAACCCTAAACCCGACACTTACAGGTTTGAAGGTCGAGTGCAGGGTGCGACTCAGAGAGGCTTGAGGGTTAGGGTCTAGGGTTTAGCGTTTCGGGTTTAGGGTTCTGAAGCACTAAAAAGCCTGGAAACTGCACCCTAGGCCCTAGGCCCTAGGCCCTACTTGGAGGTTCATGGGGTGTAGGGTCTGGGTTTAGGGTTTGGGGTTTAGGGTTTAGGGTTCAGGGTTCAGCATTTAAGGTTTAGGGTTTAGAGTTCAGGGTTCAGGAATTAGGTCATGCGATCGTGAAGACTGCTCACTCAGTGCTGCTTCGATCTGGCTAGTCCGCAAGCCCAGTTGCAAAAAGGGTTCAGGATTGAGGGTTTCGGATTCAGGGTTATAACCGCAATTGTACGTCTACTTATAACCTACTTAGGGGACTTAGGGGCTTAGTACAGTTACTCGTATAACTGGGGCTATAAGTGCCCATAACCTCCAAGTAGACCCTAAACCCCAAACCCTGATTCCCCTTACTTTCCATGCAGATCAATAGGACATGGTTGAAATGAACCACTTGTTGCGGGGAGATGCAGACTTCAACAGGCTAACCCTAAACCCTGAACCCGAAACCCTAAACTCAAGGTATTCTGACTTTCAGGTAGCAGCTAGGCCTAGGGCTTTGGGTTTTTGGGGATGTTGCGATCCAGCGTGGAAGGAAGGAAGGAGGGAGGGAGGGAAGGAAGGAGGGAAGGAAGGAAGAAAGGAAGGAAGGAAGCAAGGAAGGAAGAGCGACAGCGAGAGGGAGAGCGATAGCGAGAAGAGCGAGAGCGAGGAGAGCGAGAGCGAGGAGAGCGAGAGCGAGGAGAGCGAGAGCGAGGAGAGCGAGAGCGAGGAGAGCGAGAGCGAGGAGAGCGAGAACGAGGAGAGCGAGAGCGAGAGCGAGGAGAGCGAGAGCGAGAGCGAGGAGAGCGAGAGCGAGGAGAGCGAGAGCGACGAGAGGGAGAGCGAGGAGAGGGAGAGCGAGAGGTTTTACGCCGAGTAGAAAAGGAGAATGAGAGGGATAAAGGAGAAAGGGGGAGAGAGGATCAGACGGTTTGCCGAAGGATTTGAGGCTTGGGATGTCGGATTTCGGATCGTAGCAATTAGCTTCAGGGGCGGGCTCTTTGCTGCACATCCGGCCGAAGGCAAGCAACAATAAACCCTAAACCCGAACTCCTCATCTTCTCCAAATGCCGAGTTGCCGCACATCCGGTCGACTGGGTGGGCTTCGAATACCTCACAGACACGCAGGCCATGGGCATGGGCTGGGGTCGTTCGGGCCCGAAAGCCTAAACCCCCCTCAACCCTAAACCCTAAGCTGAAGGCCTCGACTCGGCCTCGTACAGTGGGCAAGGGCCCGCTTCCTTCCAGACCCCTACTCCCTAGAATTCTCTGGACCCCTTGGAACCAGCCTGGTGACCATCGGTGACAGAAGAACTTTTGTTGGAAGTAGGCAATTGATGTGGGTTTAGGCCTAAACCTTAGGGTGGCTTGGGAGAAGCCCTCCACAATCGGGCCAGTGCTGCTCTTCGTATTTGACGAGGCTTTCGTTTCGAGCCTCTTCTGCATCCTACCTCTAACCTTCACAGCATCTACGCCATATTACAGCACACCCTAAACCTAAACCCTGAACCCTAAACCCTAAACCCTAAACCCTGAACCCTGAACCCTGAACCCTGAACCCTGAACCCTGAACCCTCAACCCTCAACCCTCAACCCTCAACCCTCAACCCTAAACCCTAAACCCTAAACCCTAAACCCTAAACCCTAAACCTGCCCATTTTGAGGTCTGCAGTGAAGGCTTCAGGGCTTGTGCTCTTTCGGGGCATTTCGGGTTCCGAGAGCCGGAGGCAGGCCTTGAAGGCAAATGTGGCCCCCAGGCCTCTTGAGGGTTTAGGGTTTAGGGTTTCGGGTTTAGGGTTTAGGGTTTAGGGTCTAGGGTTTAGGGTTTAGGGTTTAGGGTCTAGGGTTTAGGGCTTAAGGTAGGCTCTTGGGGTAGTTAGATGGTCCCTGAATTTGTGGCCCCTAAAAGGGGACCCCTTATATGCCCCTTACATACCCTATTAAGACCAAGTCCCATATGTCAGAACCCGTTGAAGGAGGTAAGGGACCATATCAAGGGACCGTGCAACTACCCTTAGATAGGGATTGGGCTTTGGGATTCAGTGACGGCTTGGGGCTTAGGGCTCAGTGGGGGTGTATGGTTCAGGGTTTAGGGTTTCAGGGTTTAGGGTTTAGGGTTTGGGGTTTGGGGTTTGGGGTTTAGGGTTTAGTGTCAGAATCACCTGCTACCTGTCGACCCACCCTTTTGCTGGCTGCCTCCCAATAGAGCCTTGCCCATTCCAGCCCCTTCTGTGGCTAGACCCCCCTAAACCCTACACCCTAAACCCTAAACCCCAAACCACGGCTGTGGTGATCAGATAATGTAGTAGACCCTAAGCCCAACAAAAGCCCTCAAGGGGTGGCTATGCTCCTCGAACTCCTAGACGGGGGATTTTGATTTATTGGTGGAAAAGAGGACTCGATTTTTTTTGTAAATTTGCCAGCTTCCAGGTGTTGCAGCATGTGATGTCTTGGAACGCAGCTTGCATGCAAGACTCGAAGCCCTAAACCCGAAACCCTAAACCCCAGAACCCTGCTGTGTTGCTCTGCTATTCTGGGAAATGCCTATTTATTGTTTGTTGAACAAGTGAGTTCTTGCGAACATGGCCAACTTTGGTCCATTGCTGCGGCGGCTATTTATCACCTGGGCCCAGTTTCGATTAGTTGGGCTGGTCGTCGCTTTAGTCTTACGTCTTGAGGTGGTGCTTTGCTTGCTGCGGGCAGTGTACATCAAAAGCCCGTGCCCCCAAGGCACTGAAGGGCCCGAATCGTGCCGCGCTCTTCTCCGAGGCAATGGCGTTGGTTTGGGTCATCATCTCCGGCTTCATTGCCGCGGCGTACAACTGCGTGGCATATAACCTTGTGCAGAGGCGGACGAGGGGAGTTCGACAGGATTCCTTCGAAGCTCCAAGCCTCCAAACCCCCCCCAAGCCCCCAAACCCAAAAGCCCTAAGCCCTAAGCCTTAAGCCCTAAGCCGCCTAAGCCGCCTAAGCCCCAAGCCCTAAACCCTAAACCTTAAACCCAAAAGTGCGAGATCCTCAGAGACAACCAGCATAGGTTTTTCGAGGATGACCTAGTGCGAGGCTGCGAAAGGATACAACCGAAGCCCCAAACAGTTCTGAAAGTTAGTGCTGAAGCCACGGGTGTGAGCCAAACGGTTTTGGGTTTGGGGTTTTGGGGTTTAGGGTTTGGGGTTTGGGGGTTTGGGGTTTGGGGGTTTGGGGTTTGGGGTTTAGGGTTTACGGCTTCTCGGAGA